TAAATTATTGCTTCCTTTTTTTCTATCCAAAGTTATTGATCGAATAGAACATCTTAGAATGACTAGAATGATTTGACAAGTAAGATTCCGGAACTATATATAAAGATGTTTATAGAATAAGGGATACTTAGTGTAACAGTATACCATAAGTTGTATTATCATCAAAGGACATCATAAGAAAATAACAGGTATTCAAATCCTCTCTCAATTGTAATGAATTCTAAGAAGCATGAACTTGCTGATGCATATTATCAAGGTGTACTGTTGGAGTCAACGATACTTTTCTAGAGATTCACTCTTACAAAACTTTCCACTTTTACACCACACGTTAGTATGAAGTTGTTCAAGTTACCAATGACTTGTTGCTCACTTGTCAGTAAATAATATCATGTTATTCAATCTTCAATGATGGCGTATTTTATCCCAGAGTTTGTAAATTATTGAAGTTGTACTTGCTGTATGTAATTAAGAAGCCCGGCCCCAAACCACCTGTTCTAATATAACTGATTTTTGATAGAAATTTTGGCGAGACTGTAATTTATGGACGAACCAATAAGGTATACGATAATAGGTCTCGGATATTGGGGCGAAATCCACTCATCCAATTTGGTTAAATAGTTTTGGCATTATAGATGATGTCAGTTCGTGATGAAAACCCGAAAACTAAGGTTCATACAAAAAGGTTATTTGTTTGTTACATTTTAATTCAGCATCCTTTCCGAACTAAATTCCAAGGTGAAGACACAAACTGGATTTCCAGAGAAAATTCCAATGGTTTTCAGGTACATCAGTATTTTCAAAATAAATAATCGATTTTTTCTGACTTTAAATTTTCATAACTTCAACACTATATATATTACTTTCGAATGTTTACTACTCACTAGTTTATAAGTAGGCAAACTTATTTATTTGGGTAGACTGAGTATTTATCAAGTGCAAACTCCAAGTCGTTGAACTGAAGACTAGTAAGATAAAATAAGTAAATATGAACAATTAAATTTCAACATTAACCACTATAATCTATTGGTGGAAAATCAAGACTATGTAATTGATATGACATCACTCTGCATCAACATTGGTGATTGCAACGGACAAGTCAATTCATTTTAGATAAGATTGAGTATTTAAAAAAATTATGCCTTTTTTTATCAAGGTTGGTTAGATCGAAAGAATTGCTTTAAACTAGTAGAAAATTCTGATATTTGATTAACTTTTTTGGTGTACAGCTGGTTGAAATAGTCATATGAAGAACAATTTATTATAATTGTAAGAGTAACACAATGTTAACTATATTGACCATATTAAAAGATGAAGAGAATTTCATCGAATACTTTATCTGTATTTGTTGTATATTATGACTATCTATATTATTAGGTTTATTCTAGAAATATGAATGTGGAAAAAGAGAAAATTGATTTGAAACTATTTCTTGTCTTCATAATTTACCTAGTTGCATGGTGCGTACTAGCTACGCCCGCAGCACCTCAAACGCCACTTCTGGTCCGAAGCCCGATTAAAAGAGGAGAGTTGAGCAGCCCCACCCCTTAGAAAACTAACTCGCTGAAAAACGCTAACAAGAAAAAAGTAATTCAAATCATTTAAATTCTACCCTGGGAGTTAGGTCTTCATTTAGAAGAGTTATGACGCCTCATGGTGAAAGCCAAGTTCCTTCGGAAATCACGAGATTCATGCCCATTTCGACAACCAGAGAAACCATGAACTTAGGAACATGGGATGCTCGTACAATGCGGGGGACCGGGAGAGTCATTTAGATTGCTGCAGAAATGAGGAGATACAACCTGGAGGTGCTTGAATTCAGTGAAACACATTGGACGTAAGTTGGTCGACAAAGACTATTTTCAGGAGAGCTGTATTTAAACTCCGGCCGTGAAGTATACAACACCGGATATGAAGACATCATGGTGGGACATGAACTGGGAGAAAGGAATGGAAGCGGTGAGAGATTTGCAAACTTATTTGCCTTCAATAGACTGGTCATAGGCGGAATTATATTTCCACACAAAACCACATGTATTTCACTGGGTCACAGTACACAGAACCAAATCGACCATATCTGCATCAACAAAAAGTTCAGGAGGACGATGGCTGAAGTGAGAACCAAGAGGGGAACCGATATAGACTCAGATCACCACTTGTTGGTCGTCAAAAATGAAACTAAAACTTAAGAAACACTAGACAATGGGGAGGACAATATTACAAAAGTATAATACGGCCCCTCTTCGGGATACTGACAGACCCAACAAACTCAAGACAGTCCTCAGCAATAAGTTCCAGGCCTTTCATGATCTACTCAATGGAGAAGAAACTACTATAGAGAGCAACTGGAAAGAGATAAAAGAGGCAATCACTTCAACATGCCATGAGGTTCTGGGCCAAAAGAAGCACCATCACAAGGATTGGATCACGGTCGATACACTGTATAAGATTCAAGAAAGGAGGAACAAGAAAGCAGCAATCAATAACAGTCGAACAAAAGCAGGGAAGTCCGTGACACGCCGAATGCACAGAAGCAAACAAGTAAGTGAAGAGGAGCAGCAAAGCCGACCATCGTAAATATGTGGAAGATTTGGCAATGACGGTTTCAAAGGCTGTCAGAGAAGGAAATATGAGACGATTGACTGATGCAATGAAGAAACTCTCTGGAAATTATCGTAAACTAGAACGACCAGTCAAAAGCAAACACGGTAAAGTAATCACCAACTTTGAAGAACAGCCAAGCAGGTGAGTAGAACACTATAAGGAACTCATGAATCGACCGGAAATAAGGCACGTGATCAAGATACCAAAGAAAGGCGATATCTGCAAGTGTGAGAAACACCGAGGCATCACACTTCTCTCAATATAAGGAGAGGTCTTCAACAGGGTATCGTTAAACAGAATGAAGTACTCCGTAGATACCAAACTTCGAGATCAATAGGCTGAATTTCATAAGGATTGATCGCGTAATGACGGAATCGCAACACTATGGAGCATTTTAGAACAATCAACTGAATGGAATTCATCACTCTACATCAACTTCGTTGACTATAAGTAAGCAGTTGGTAGAGTGGACAGAACAACAATATGGAGGCTTCTCTTTCTCCTGGTGATCCACTCTACTGGATTATGAAGAGATCAACTTCTGGGGGGAAGCACGGGATACGGTAAACGGCTATAATGCAGCTGGATGATCTAAACTTCACAGTTGATCTGGCCCTTCTATCACACACACGACAAGAAATGCAGAAGATGACGATCAGTGTGGCAACTGCAGTAAGAAAGACGTAAGATCCTTTACATATCTGGGCAGTATTATTATGGACACGTGGATGTGATGCAGATGTGAAGGTGCGCATTGGCAAAGCAAGAGCAACATATTTACAACTGAAGAAATTCTGGAACTCAAAACAATTATCTACCAACATCAAAATCAGAATTTTCGGTACAAATGTTAAAATAGTTCTAGTGTATGGGGCGGAAACCTAGGGAGCCTTATCCAGAAGATTCAAGTGTTTATTAACGGCTGTCTCCGCAAAATACTTCGAATCCGTTGGTCAGATACTATCAGCGACAACCTACTATAAGAAGGAAAAACCAGGTTCCAGTGGAGGAATAAATCGAGATGAAGCGCTGAAAGTAGATCGAACACAAATTGTGGACAGCAACCATCTGTGTCACAAGGCAAGCCTTCACTTGAATGAAACTTTCAACGAAATGCACTTGACTACATTTATTCCTTATCTTGTAGAATGTGGAATGAAATAAGACCACCTTCAATTAATGTATCACACTATTAAGATCCATGGACATCCTTTAAAAACAGTGTTGACTTGAACTTTTAACAGTAACTATAGGTTGATACTAAAATCGCCTGAGCTTGGATAAAAGAAGTTTCGGTTGTGGATCGTTTCTAATCAATAAATGAGGAAACTTTTAAAAAATTTTGAACTTTGAAGTACTACAAACGTTTTTTCTACAATCATGTAAGCACATACTTGTAGGGTCAGTGAAATGTTACAGAGTCCTAATCAAATCATTCGGCAGTTGCATCACTGAATATGCGACAGATCATCTACGTCAAGTAAAACCAACGTGGATTGGTTGATCGTATGCTATGGATTTGCCCATGCGGTAGTGATCTCACTGTTTTCTCTGTACTCATTCTTACTAATGTATTTCCGTAATAAAGTTCTTTGAGTTATACGGTCTTCAAAGCAGACATACTACCTTGATATAACGGAGGAATAATCCACGCTAGATGCTGACCACGAGGTGTGACTTCGAAGTTAGGTTGTTCGTCTCATCATTCCTGTCTAACTCGAGTCGGTCCCCAATCATTCGACATAGATCATCTACGTCGGTGATCTAACTACTGAAAGAGCTGTAGTTTGGACTGATATCAGTATAAACTCCGTACAGAATGTAAAAGCGAGTTAGAATGGGTCGTATTAAGGATGGTAGAGAAACGACAACACACTTGTAAACTAGACATTCTTTTGATCCAAACACTACGTGTCTAAGCTTATAGTTCATTCGTTAATCTGGACCAAGATTAAATATTATCAACACTGATAGTTCGGTTTGGTATGGATAAAGTTAACTAAGCGATATGTACCTCAAAAAACATTTTGAAAAACTTCACAAGAACGAAATTTACTTAAAAACCACTGTAGTGAACTTATTTATTCTTCCACTAACTAATACAGTATAGCAGAAGTCGGCTCAGAACTGTGATTTAACACAGTCGAACATATAATATACAAGGCTGGCGAATAATACAAATTTATAGACTAAACCAACCAACTGAGCAAACGGAGAAATGCAACATGTGACGCATTAGGATGACGTGGCATCATGTGCTATACCCTCTTTCCTGAGATTTTCTTTTCCTGAACCGTTTCGATCCATTAGATTTGCTTTTTATTGGGATCTCGTAATTGAAAGTTTATTATTAATCATTTTTAGACCTCGAATTTGGATAAACAAAAGCTTATTTTCCGATGACAGCAGCTTGGAAATCTTTAAAGTTGTTCACTGACTGCGGAATTCTGGAAATAACCTTGTCGCGTTTCAAAGCAGAAGGTCACATGTCTTCATGTTCGGATGAGTTTATTGATGCCCAGGAGTTCTCTCCAGGTTCACCGCCAGAATCGTCTACGGATTTTAAGGAGTCCGTAAGCTTTGACACATTTTCACAAAATGATGGAGACAAAGAAAAATCAATTGAAGTTAAAAGACTAGAAGAGGAATCACTAACCGTTCAGGAAATTGAGGTTTGAATTTCGTTGTTTTAATATTTAGATTAGGAACAAAGGGATATTGCAGTTGCCACAAAAGATAAGGGAAATTCTCTTTTCAAGTCTGGCTCTTATAACGAGGCTTTAATGAAATACACGGAAGCTCTTGACCTCTGCCCGCTGAAGTGTGCCGTTGAACGCTCTGTGATTTATGCCAATAGAGCTGCATGTCATATAAAACTGGTTAGTCGTCTGCATTTCTATAGGATTTCTCATTTTGCTCTTGTATTGTCGTAATCGATCGTTGTATATTTATCCTAAATTTTGCATCTTAATTACTGCAGCATGATTATAATTTCTTATTCTTTTTATAAAGAAAGTTACCCTATATTTATCTCTTATGGTCATTGTAAGCATTCAGCCACATTTTATTGATATAAATTAGTAGTATGCACTAAGTCGCTCATACTAATATGGTGAACTGGGATCCTTTTCACTTCATTTGAATGGGGCAAATATGCTTTTTGTCTTACCGAATACCCCATGCAATAAGTGTAAACCCATATAGTCAGCTTTAAGTCATATTGAAAAACAAACGGCACTGCTCATTTTCTAAAGTTAGTTGCTATGCTTTGGAACTAGGGGTTTGAGAAGTTCCGGTCTTATCAGTGTAACCACCTTGTTTAGTCAGCAAATAACAGTTGTAGGTAAATAACTTGTGCGTAAAGAATTGTGTTAAGATATATCTAACATAGTCAATCGACCTTGTTAGGTCATAAATAGGTGTTTCGTTTTCGGATCAAGGAATGCACAATACTAAATCATCGATGTGATAACATATCATCTTTTCTCTTGAACCCATATTGGAACTTGTCTTATTTGAGTGATTGTACGATAATAAATCTACATAATTTGTTAATAGACAACAATATTGTGGTTGTATACAAATTAGGAAAGATACTCATGTGCTCCAGTCATGTTCGTAGGTGGCTTTTTTCTGAGGGAAACATTGATTGCTTGTAAAGATCCATGCGTAAGCCTTTTATCTTATGCTTTCCCGAATTATCCTTTACATAGAGTCCTATTTTGTTTTCTAAAAACCTGCCACAGATAAACACAAAACTACCTACTCGTCCCACAATCGTGTTATAGGGTTGTTCACAGTAACCCAACATTTTGCAGATAATATAAAACGATACTCGAATCAAGACAACATATTGACCTAATTGTATTGGCCATGTTATCCTCAAATATGTACTGTATAGTTAACGCTTAAGCTAATCGGTTATTTTGATTGTGGTACCTTCACATCACATTGTATGTTTGACAGAGTTTGTAACGATGTTTCATGTAGATCAGGAGGTTTCTAAAACGTTACATAAGTTTTTTGCGGTATGCAAAGAATTGATAGACCAAACATCTACTTCGCAAAAGCAGACACATGAAATATGCGAGAAATCTGTTTACGGTTCTCATTCTAACTGCCCCCAAATGCCCTGGTACGGCCGAGAGTGGGGAGATTCCGCTCTCCCTCTCGAAATGCTCTCACATGGCCACGCGTATATAGCCTCTGCCAGGGAAGTCCTACTCACTGCCTTCTCGTGGCGGGGCTGTTGTTTACGAAAATGAGAGGACGAAAAGCGAATGTCCGGCGCTTTAACCGGATCCCAAACCAATGGTGCACATGGGCTCCAGTATCCTGCGGGAACAAATGGCGTATGAACCAATCGTTGGTCACCGGCTACCATGGGACTGCATCTCCTCACGATGCTCCACTGCCTTGTGGGTCAGACGTTCAGGTCGAAGGCTCGGGGCGTGGCCCCCTAAGAAAACCATCTTCTTCGGTTTGGGCACCCGGGCAGTATCACAGCCCTCACACAAATCAATTGAGATTCGTGTGGCGCATATTTACTTGGTGCCTCCCTGTACCTACACCTTTGTTAACATAAATAATAAATAATCTCATTCTAACTAAAATTGTAGATGTCGGCTACACTGATATATTTGTTCCATAAAAGGCTTAAATGTAGTGAAATTCTAAGCCGATAATTTAGTTGTTTGAGGTATGGTAAGTAAAGAACACTCAACTAATCCTATCGCTAAGTCTGAGAATAGATTAGACGAGCAATATAACAGCTCCATGGTTTGGTAAATTTTGTACGGTCTAGTTGGTATCTCATATGTTTAAATGGATTGAGATTTTAAAATCTTGGTCTTATCTGTTGGCTACTTCTATTAACTAGTTGAAGTAACTAATGTTTGAACTTGTTTGCTAGCTTAGCTAAACTTGTTTCTTTAAAAAGTAGGATTCTCCCGAAGCAGCAATCTTGGACTGTAATGAATCGTTGAACTTACAACCAGATTACGCCAAATGTTTGGAGCGACGTGCCACTTTGTTGGAAAGCAAGGACAGGCTGTCAGAGGCACTTGAAGATTATAAAAAAATTTTGCAGTTGGACCCCAGTAATCAAAAAGCTCGTCATGCATGTGCTGTAAGTTGCTACTCATGCTAACGGTTCCTTTCTACTGTTTTGTATTACTTATATTACTATTTTCAATTTATTTTTAAGGGAATTTAATTTTTTCGTAGCGTTTGGTAGTAACCTGGAAATTATCTGTTAGTGAGGATCACAATTTCAAACTAATCAAAAGATGTATGTTTAACTGGTAGGTAACAGTTATTTATTTTATTTATTTAAACACATAAATATTGGTACAAGAGGGCACCAAATATAAATGCGCCACACAGGTAACAGTTAACTTCTTCGCTAAATGTTATTCGAATGTTTTTTGAAAGTGACATAGTTCAATGTTCCAAATCCACCATTCCAAATGTTTTCTGCATGTGGGTTCGTGAGTGATAGCTACGATTAACGTTTTGCGAGCAAAATGTTTATCTGCAAACAGTCAATATTCTACTCAGAAATCTATTATGTATTACTTGGGGATTGTGAAATTTGGGTAGACATGTTTTTATTGCAAATGTTTGTTCATGAGTATGGTCGATTTATTGTTGTAGTAAAGGTGGTTAGTTGGTTGAAGTGACTACCAACTTACATCTAACAAAGTAATTGGTTATACATTCACTACAACCATCTGCTTCAGCATTTTATATAGAATGGCATCAAAGTGAGTTACGAAGTGCGTAAGGGTGACTAGTTCATTGTATGGTATCACCTTGCTAAGCTAACAGGTGTTAATCTTGTCTGTGTAGAAAGGTTTGAATCTCCTGGCTGGAGTATGCAGGATATTCGTAATCCGTTGACTTATAAACCTAAACTTGGATATAGTCACGCAATTGTCCTCTTCCTATTCTTGAACACAGCAAAATTACGTACTTTTTTCCTCAGTCTCATTAATATCTTTTGACTGACCTAACTCTGTTCTTTTCTGCAGAGCAAGTTTTATTTTCCTATAGTTCTTGTCATGTTAGTTTTGTTTATATTATACCAATTTATGTAGAAAAATCCCATTATTTGAGAATGGCCTAAGTTGTGTGCTCATATTTCTGAGACGTGTGTGTTATAAACAGCAGAACCAGTGGTATGTATGTTACGAATTTGGCACCAAAACTGTCCAAGTTGCCATACCGCATTAGCACAACAAGATCAACACCGGATTCATAGAAGTAGTTAATTCAGTGGTGGTAATATGTAGAAGAAAGATCGCATATAAGGACATAGTACAGGAAGAAAGAATTAGTTCCTAGAAAGAAAGATTTGAAGTGATTTTAATCTCTTAATTTAAGGAAGACAGAGAGTGAATACACCGACGCCATTGTGATCGATTCTGAGCCATGTCACCAAGAGTCTCCAACCATTGGTTACGATAGTCACGCGGACCCCAACCAGGCAGTCTGAATCTACCATCATGGCTCAGACCAGAAGTTAGTGACTTTAAGCACTGATGCCACGTTTTGGTTTGGCTGCCCCTAACTTTCTTCCAATCATCCATAACACCGGTTAGCATTGCGCGTCGTGGTAATCGGTGTTCAGGCATACGCAGCATGTGGCCTAACCATCTCAGTCGATGAAGACTCATAACCTTATCAACTGATTTACCATCATTCCCTAATACCCTGCGTCTAACCTCACTATTACTTACCCCGTGATCCCAGCAGATACTCGCAATATTTCTAAGGCACCTGTGGTCAAATACTAGTAACTTACGAATATCTTCTACTCTTAAAGGCCATGTTTAGCAGCCATAAAGTAAAACAGAACGAACTGCTGTGCAGTATACTCGTCCCTTAATTGATAGACGGATATCTCGCCTGCGCCATAGGTAACGTAAGTTGGCGAAAGCCAAACGAGCTTTTCGAATCCGTGCTGAGATTTCGTCAGACACCAACCCATTAGGGCTGATCAGACTTCTAAGATAAGTGAAGTTGTCAACGTGTTCGACTACTTCACCCCCTATCCTCAGTTCAGGTGTTGACGCAGACCAGTCCTGAAGCAACAGTTTGCATTTGGAGGGAGAGAAGCGCATCCCAAACATTCTGGCATTGTTTCTCAGTGCTACCAAACGACTCTGCATTTCATCAGCGTCTTCACCAAACAGGACTATGTCATCTGCGTATTGTAATCGATAAGTGGACCTCCTGGTAGGAGGTCAATACCCGAGAATTCAGTCGATGAGAGCGTTATTTCCATCAGTAGATCTATGATGAAGTTAAACAAAAATGGAGAAAGTAGACAGCCTTGACGGACGCCACTTGAGGTTGCGAAAGCAGATGACAATTCGCCATAAGCTCTGACCCGACTAGTAGTGTTCGAGTAAAGAGCCTTCACAAGGTGTATGTACTTCTGAGGTACACCTTTCAATGACAGACACTGCCACAGAACCTCTCGGTCAACAGAGTCAAACGCTGCTTTTAAGTCAAGGAATACCACCATTGTCGGACGCCGATAAGTATGCCTGTGTTCTAGAACCTGACGAATGGTGAATATGTGGTCGATGCAGCCACGACCAGGTCTGAAGCCAGCCTGATTTTCACGTGTTTGCAGTTCACGAGTCTTAGTTAGGCGTCCGAAAATTATCGAGGTTAGTATTTTAGATATTATATTAGTTAAACTAATCCCTCTGTGGTTGTCACAGGATGATTTTGACCCTTTCTTAAATATTGGGACGATAAGTGATTGTGACCAGTCAGAGGGGATTACGTCTAACTCCCTGATTTTAGCTAAAATATTAGTCAACCTAATCGCTAAGACTAGACCACCATCCTTAAAGACCTCTGGGGCCAATCCATCTGGACCAGCTGCCCTTCCTCGTTTCAGATTAGCTATAGCCTTTTGAACTTCAGCTAGAGTTGGGGGACCTACTTCAATGTTCCATTCACACTGTCTGGGAATAGAGGGTAGTTGTAGAGTAGCTGAAGGCCAGCTAAACTGCTCCTTAAAGTGTTCCGCCCATCGTTCTAAGCGTCTGGACTGGGAGCAGATGAGAGTGTCGTCTTTTTCCGAAATGGTCTGACTTACACTTGATTTATTAATTCCAGTTTCTTCTATTAGTCTGTAGAGTTGTCTTGTGTTCCCTATAGCCGCCGCCTTTTCCATCTCTTTTGCTTTCGTTGCCCACCACTGCTCACGATCATTCTTTAGACTTTTGTTTAACCTAGATCTGATTTCTTTACGCTCTTCATCGTATTCAGAACCTGATGGGATGAGTTTGCGAGAATCTATCAGTGCAATAGACCTTGAAGAAATCCATTGGTTCTTTGTAACCCTGTGGTTTAAATCACTGGTAGATGTCACTACTGTTTCCGCAGCTGCTTGTATAACTTTCCAAGCAACATCTGGGTCAGCTTCGTTTTCAGAACTACCTAAGTGTGATCTCAGTTGTTCCTGGGACCTACTTTTGGTTTTCTCATTACTCGATTCGGTTCTAATGAGTCTTTTTTGTGTGGCTCTTTTGCGTCCAGTGAGGCGCAAGCAGATGCGTGCTCGTACTAGGGCATGATCAGAGTCCAAGCAGGTACCCCAGAATGAGCGACAATCTTCTATTGACCCTCTCCAACGATGACTGATGGCAATATGGTCTATTTGAGTCCATCGTTGGTTTGGTGCAGGGGGTCGCCATGTCAGGCGATGTCTCTCCTTATGCTTAAAATTTGTGTTTGCTAAAAATAAACGATTGTCTGAGCACAGTTGCAGCAGACGATCACCATTATCTGTTCGCTGTGCTGGAATACTAAAATACCCATCTAAATGTCTTTCTGTTTGGTTTAAGCTACCTACCTGGGCATTAAAGTCACCTCCTACGAGTACTATGTCTGAACGTTTAGCTTTCTGAAGAAGTTCAGACAGCATTCTGTAAAATTCATCTTTCACTTCATCCGAACTGCAGTCAGTGGGAGCGTTGGCAGAAACGACGGAAAAGCAACGACGTGTGTCCATATCCTTCCGAGTTCTTATCGAGCCGTTTAGCCGAACAGCGCATAGACGACTATTAACGGGGATCCACTCTAATAGCGCTTGTTCCGCCCTCATGCTTAGTGCTATGCCTACACCTGCCAGTCCGCGAGAACTAGCCATCGAGTCGCCAGATACACGGAGGGTGTATCTCGTTGGCTCTCCGTTTTGCCGAGGTGAGGTCAAGTGAATGACCACGCTAGGATCCTGTATGCGTGTTTCGGAGACACAGCATACATCAATGGTACGAGATTCTAAGGTTTTAGCCAAGTCAGTCAGTCAGCTGCAACGTAGGACCAGGCACGTATATGCATCGGTCCAAGTTGCCATACCGCATTAGCACAACAAGATGAACACCGGATTCATAGGAGTAGTTAATTCAGTGGTGGTAATATATAGAAGAAAGATTGTGTATATGGAGATAGTACAGGAAGAAAGAATTAGTTCCTAGACAGATATGAAGCGATTTTAATCTCTTAATTTAAGGAAGACAGAGAGTGTATACACCGACGCCATTGTGATCGATTCTGAGCCATGTCACCAAGAGTCTCCAACCATTGGTTACGATAGTCACGCGGACCCCAACCAGGCAGTCTGAATCTCCCAACATGACTCAGACCAGAAGTTAGTGACTTCAAGCATTGATGCCACGTTTTGGTTTGGCCGCCCCTAACTTTCTTCCAATTATCCCCTGCACTAGTCAGCATTGCGCGTCGTGGTAATCGGTGTTCAGGCATACGCAACACGTGGCCCAACCATCTCAGTCGATGAAGATTCATAACCTCATCAACTGATTTACCATCATTCCCTAATACCCTGCGTCTAACCTCACTATTACTTACCCGGTGATCCCAGCAGATACCCGCAATATTTCTAAGGCACCTGTGGTCAAATACTAGTAACTTACGAATATCTTCTACTCTTAAAGGCCATGTTTCGCAGCCGTATAGAAGGAAGGAACGAACTGCCGCGCAGTATACTCGTCCCTTAATTGATAGACGGATATCTCGCCTTCGCCATAGATGACGTAAGTTGGCAAAGGCCAAGCGAGCTTTTCGAATCCGTGCTGAGATTTCGTC